GGGTTCAGGGTTTAGGCTTTAGGACTTACTTCCCCCAGTAAGCCAGGGAAATCGAAGGTTAAGTTGTCAGACTACTGAGAAGTTATAAGAACCGAAAAAGATCTCTAAGAAGCTTTAAAGGTTGGGAGTTGGGGAACTGAGTGAACATACACCCGAGTGAAGCCTTCCAGAACCCTTCCCTGCATGGCCCCAGGAAACCCTAAACCCTAAACCGTGACAAACTTGTGACAACCCTACACCTGAAAATCAGTAAACCCTAGAACCCTAAACCCTACCTTGGACTCTAATTTCCTACAGTTTTATGGGTTCTACCTACTAAGTTAAGGTGCAATGGCTGCTAAGCTGCAGGTAAAGAGAGTTACAGGTAAACGCTAAACCCTGGACTTTAGCTAAAGCTTTCGAGAGGTCCCAAACCCTAAACCCTAAACCCTAAACCGCCCCAAACCCTAAACACTAAAAGTACTCTCGGCCTCGCGAAGCACACCTTCCCTCTTTGGGTCCACTGCCTTGGGATGCGTGGGAGTGACGCTGAACTTCGGGCGTTTAGGGTTTAGGGCTTAGGCGAGTTTAGGGTTTAGGGTGTAGGGTTTGGGGTTTAGGGTTTAGGGTTTATTGGTTTAGGGGTTTGGGGTGTTGAAGGCTGGAGGTATGGGAACTGCGATACTGACGTCGTGGGGGCTGATGCCTTTTTTCCCAAGGCGCTGGGGTTGAAGATTTTGTCAAGGACCCTTTTGCAAGTTTGTAAAAACCCCTTTCAGCTCCTATAATTTTGGGTTTAGGGTTTAGGGTTTCAGCTCATATAATAAGGCATTAAGACAATTCAGGACTTTGAGTTGCTGGGCTTGGGGATTAAAGGGGTGGCTGGCGGATCAGATCGCTGCGTCAAAGGAGCAGAAGGAGCATTCTTGTAGCAAATCATCGACCAATCCTGCATAGACTGTGGCAATCCTAAACACTAAAAGGTAGCATAAGGTTCGGGTGTATCTTATATATGTTTGTACAAAGGAAACCGAAGAGACAGTCTGGTTAGTTGCTCAGGCTTCTATAATCCGGGCTTAGTTCCCACCTATAGGGGAGTTTCCGGAAAATAAGGGGTACCCTACTTTCGGAAACCCCCCTATGTTGGTGATACTGCAGGAGTTTGTCTATCAGCCCCCAAACCCAGCAACAATGCTGCAACATCGTAAAGGACCTTGCAGAGGTCCTTACACAAGGACAGTGTGGAAGCCGCAAACGTTGAGACCCCAAACCCTGAAAGCAACAAAAATCAACTGCCAAACCCTCTGAAACCCCGATACAACCAGCTATAAACCATATGAACCCTTAATCGCCACTCAAAAAATCCGACCAAATTACCAAAAAAACACACTTAGGAATGCCAGAACCCTGGCTGGTCTGTTCCTCGTCCAGCTTCTTGACCATGGTATGCCACTCATCTTTCGGCAAAGTTTCCTTTTCCTGTAGGCACCGGGCCCTTCTTAAGGGCCACAGTCAAGGACACTAAACCCCTAAGCCCTCTAACCTCTAAACCTCGAAACCTTAAACTTAAACCCTAAACCAAGGTCCATGTAGAGGTGCAGGGGCTCGGAAGAAATGCGATAAGATCAGGTGCAGGAGACTGCTACCCTTGGAGCGAGGGACCCGGTAAAGTTTCGGGATGGGCTTCAGGCTTTGCAGGGCTTTGGGTTTAGGGTTCAGGGCTTAGGCTTTAGAGTTTGTTTGTACCCTAAACCCTTAACCCTAAACCCTAAACCCTAAACCCCGAAACCCTAAACCCTAAACCCCAAGCCCTGGGCTTAGGGTTTCGCGCTCTAGAGAGCCCAGGGGCTTTGGGTTTGGGGGCTGGGGCTTCCTAAGGATGGACCATAGGGTTTAGGGTTTAGGGTTTAGGGTTTATGGTTTAGGGCTCACCTCGTGGACCTAGAACCCCCAGAGGCTCCATTATGGAATTAGGCCCCAAAAGACCATCCTTACTATGTTCTTGATTACCATAAGAGCGTCTAAACACGAAATTAGTGCATGTTCTTGATTACCATAAGGGTGTCTAAACTGGAAATTATGGTATGTTCTTCATTACGGCTATAGACGACGTTTGAGAATTTGCCGTTGCTCCGAAACAGATGCACCGTGCGGGCACAGCCTGAACTGCCACGGCCCTTGCAGACCTTGGCATGGACAATGACTAGCACTTAGGGTGCCTAAGCAGGGCTTTATAAGTTCTAAGAGTCTGGGGCTGGTTAGGGAGTTCAGGGTTTAATGTAGGGGCCTTAATAACTAGAATAGGGTGTTGGGGCCCAATATACCAGAATTGTACCAAGGAACCCCCTCAAAAAAGTATCGGTAATCATTCAGGCCCCTATACTAAGTCAACAGTGTAAGCTCTCTGGCTACAGGGCTTGAAGTTTTGAGCTTCGGGTTCAGGGCCAGGGTGGGTTTAGGGTTTCGGGTTTAGGTTTCAGGGTTTGGGGTTTAGGGTTTAGGTTTTAGGCTTTAGGGTTTAGGACTCTGAGTTGCGCAGGCGCTGGCGACAAGGGTTCTTGGAGGTTCCCTTGACTTCGCCTACTTAGACTTCTGCACAGCACCAAGAATCATCCCCATAACCCGTCTTACTAGGCCTGTCGAAAGCTTTCCGAAGTAGTTAAGAGAATTTCTGTTTTTCAAGGAGCTACAAAGTGGCCTTTGGAAAGACCACCAGGATTTTTTCTGTTCGGCTCCTCGGTGGGCCCTGCGGAAACAGCATCAAACCCCAAATCCGAACGCCCTGAACCCTACAGGAACCAAAGAACAGCACCCTAGCGTAGTTTTCGCGAGTCTTTCGAGACGAGTCCCCTTAAACCCTTAACCCCCAATAACAGCACAGGGTGGCTGGTATACGGAATAGACCGCAATGTAGGGGCTTTGAAAGTTAGAATAGGGTTTTGGGGCCCATGATACTATGACTATGCTAAGGCACTCCCATCATAATATTGGGAAGCATTTAGGCCCCTATCGTAGCTGGACCCTGGGTTGCAATACTTTTTTGGGGTAACAATGGTATCTTGTTCTACTACATACTAAGGTCCTGATCTGTCCTAATATTACAATAGGTTACTCTCCCAAAAGGCACTTACATTCTAGGGTCTCGGCAAATCATAAACAAAAATCTGCTTAACACCTAGTTGAGCCACCTTTAAACTCCTTGAAAAATCCGAAAGAATGGCTCAGGGTTTACGGTTTAGGGATTCGGGTTGAGGCCCTACTCCCGAAAGCCCAGCCCGATTAAGGCAGACGGGTTGTGGGATCTCTGTAAGCGATAGACACAACCTGTAATACCTAAAAGACCCCAGACCCCATGCCCTAAACAAATACATAAACGCAGGGACCCCTTCCACTACTTAGGGGCTGAGTACCCTAGCCCGAAAGATTTTGACTTTCGAAATTATGGTACGAATATATGACCTAAAGGTTGTCTACTCAGCTACCAAGGCTAGTCAGCTGAGGTTTTCGAATCTGTGAGCTCCTCCTGAGCAACTGAGTCCCACGGCTTTTGCACCACATGAGCATTGATCTCCCAGAGCTCGTAAAGCCTCGTTCCGAGTTGCTGGGAATATAATCTACAAGAAGGGCACCGTAATGAGGATTGTAGGGTTTCGGGGTGTAGGGGTGTAGGGTTTAGGGATATAGGGTGTACGGTTGAGGATTTAGGGTTTAGGGGTTTAGGACTTAGGGTTAAGGGTTCGGGGTTTAGGGTCCAGCGGTTTATGGTTTAGGATTTTGGGGTCTAGGGTTTAGGGGCACGTCACTCATCGCAATCCTCAGCGACATCGGGCCAGCTGCGCGCGACATGAGAAAAGTCAAACAGAAAGCTGAAGACAGAACTGCAACGCGGCCCAAACCCTGATATATATATATATATATATTTATATATATATATACATACATACACACACACACACACATTTATTTATAGAGCTCAAACAGTTACCGGTCTTATTCCACAAGGTTCCTTAAATCGTAGCTATAGAATAGAAAATATGGGTACTTCTCTAAATTAGGGTCCCTTTTTGGGGCCCCAATAGAGTACGGCACCCTTATAAAAAGGACCCTAACAGGGACCCTACTTTAGAGAACTACCCAAATATCTCAAATCACTATTTTTGAATGGACCCGAACCCTAAACCCTAAACCCTAAACCCGCAGTGTAAGAGCCGGACATCTCCGGGATGAACTGCGGGATGCGATGATTGGGCACTTCGCCGGCCTTAGGGCCAAGCTAAGGTGACTCTGCAGAAACTTTCTCTAAACCCTACAAACCCTACAAACCCGAAACCCTAAACCCTAAACCCTATAAGCCCTAAAACCCTAAATCCTAAACCCAAAACCCTAAACCCTATAAACCCTATAAACCATAAACCCTAGAAACCCTGTAAACCCTATAAAGCCTATAAACCCTATAAACCAGAAACCCTAGAAACCCTGTAAACCCTATAAAGCCTATAAAGCCTATAAAGCCTGTAAAGCCTGTAAAGCCTATAAAGCCTATAAGCCCTAGATTAGGACTCGAGGTTTAGGGATTTCAGCCTTTAGGGCTTCGGGATCCTTTGCTCCCTCAACCCTACACCCGGGTGCTGAGATCGCCGCAATGATGTCCATGATCCCCTAAACCCTAAACCCTAAACCCTAAACCCTAAACCCTAAACCCTAAACCCTAAACCCTAAACTGCTGAGATCGCCGCAATGATGTCCATAATCCAGTCGGCAGGATTTTCGGATTCGGGGGCCTGGCAAAGACCGTTGTAGGCTTGGGGTTTAGGGTTTAGGGTTTAGGGTTTAGGGTTTAGGGTTTAGGGGGTTTAGGGTATAAAGGTATACCCTGAGCCGTAAACCCTAAACCCAAAGCCGTTTAGGGTTTTAGGGCTTGGGGTTCTAGGGCTTGGGGTTCTAGGGCTTGGGGTTCTAGGGCTTAGGGTTCTAGGGTGTAGGCTGCTGCAGTCTTGAACCCAAGTTGAGCGCCTGATCATTCCGGTGCTTCGGAGCCAAAATCCGAAACGAAGCCTCGACAACCCCAAAGTCCTAAAGCCCTGAAGCCCCAAGCAATAGGGTCTAGGGCTTAGGGTTTAGGAGCTTTGGGTTTAGGGTTTAGGGGTTTAGGGTTTAGTTTAAGGGGTTAGGGTTTAGTTCAGGATACTGGGGGTTTAGGGCTCCAAGCAATAAAACCCCAAAGAAAGCATGATACCCAGGCATGCTCGACCAGTGTAGAAACTTTCCGGGGCCTTGAAACGCTTATGTTTCAAGGGTTTAGGGTTTGGGGTTCCTTGAAACGCCTATTTTTTTAAAGGTTTAGGGTATAGGGTTCCTTGAAACGCCTATTTTTTAAGGGGCCTTATGCCCTGAACTGTAAATGTTAAGACCCCTGCGAAAGAGCCCTCAACCCTGCAAACCCTATACTAAACCCTCATAGAACTCGCAAGTTCAGGAAATCCTTCTCATGAGCCTTCTATAACAGTATATGACTTAACTATAAACCCTAAAACCCTAAACCCTAAACCTTAAAGTAAAACTCTAAACCCTATACCTTACCTAGACCCCCCAACTGCCCTCTGATATACCCTAAATGCCCACTATTAAGGACCATAAGGGCTCTATTCAGGGGCAGTTGGGGGTCCTGGACTAAACCCTATAAGCCTAAACCCCCAACCTTATAACCCTAACCCCTGAACCCTATAACCCTAGACCCTAAGCCCCCTAAACCCTGTAACCCTATAACCCTAAACCCTAAACCCTCTCTTACGGGAAACCCTAAACCCTAAACCCTCAAGCAAATGATAAAGGACCCTTAGATGAACCCTTCTTCAGAAGATCCTTATCTGGGAAACTCAGCGGAGGATCCTCGAAACCCAGCTGCTGGAAATAGCGCTGTGCACCTCAGGGGAGGATTCGGGCTTAGGGCTTTAGGGTTTTAGGGTTTAGGGCTTTAGGGTTTTAGGGTTCAGTGTTTTAGGGCTTTAGGGTTTCGGGTTTTAGGGTTTCAGGGTTTTAGGGTTTTGGGGTTTAGGGTTTAGGGCTTAGGGTTTACCTGGACCCCAAACAACCTACCTTTTTAGGGTTCCTTATTATCGTTTCTTTATATAGGTCCTTAAAAGGTAGACGCTTTGGGGTTAAGGTAGGGCTTAGGGTTTATAGGCCTTTGGGTTTCGGTTTAGTTAGGGCTTTGGGTTTAGAGTTTGGGGTTTAGGGCTTAGGGCTTCGGGTTCAGGGCTTCGGGTTTAGGGCTTTGGGTTTCGGTTTGGGGTTTAGGGCTTTGGGCTTCGGTTCGGGTGTAGAGCTTTGGGTTTAGGGCTTGGGCTTCGGGTTTAAGGGCCTCGGGTTCATAAGCATTAAAGAGCTTAGGGTTGAAAGGGAAATTGTTTTCGGGTTTAGGGTTTAGGGTTTAGGGTTTCGGGTTGAGGGTTTAGGGTTTAGGGTTTAGGGTTTAGGGTTTAGGGTTTAGGGATTCAGTGTAATTTGAGGTTTCGGGTTGAAGGTTTGGTTGTTGAGGGGTACGACCCCTACATCCTCGCTTCTAAAGACCATCTTAATCATCTTTCCCTTATAAAATATCTACAAGTGGAACCCAGCGAGCCGAGTAATGACGACATAATTGAGGAACATACCTCAAGTCTTATAAACGATCTTACAATGAAGGTCCCTGTATGTTAATGTAAAGCCCCGAACCCAAAACCCCTAAACCCTGTATAAAACCTAGACCCCAAGCCGCTAAACCCCTAAACCCTAAACCCCGAAACTCCTAAGCACTAAACCCCTAAGCCCTAACTCCTAAACTCCTAAACCCTAAACCCTCAACCCCTAAACCCCTAAACCCCTTAAGCCCTAAACCCCGAAACCCCGAAACCCCGAACCTCTAAACCCAAACTAGCTCCTACACTCTAAACCCTAAACCCCTAAACCCTAAAACCCTAACTAACTCCTACACCCTAAACCCTAAACCCCTGAACCCTAAAACCCTAGAGTGCTACAACCCTAAACCCTGAGAGCCCTCCAGCCTTGGGCAGGGCCCAGATACACCGTTCGACCGCCCTGCAACCAAGGAAACAGCATGGTAGGAACTAGGGTTTAGGTTTCTGGGTTTTAGGCTTATGGGGTTTAGGGTTATGGGGTTTAGGGTTATGGGGTTTAGGGTTTAGGGGTTTCGGGTTTAAGGGTTTAGGGGTTTAGGGTTTGGGGGGGGTTCAGAGGACGTTTATCCGGGTGTCTTTTTCAGAGTTTTCATGTTTAGGCTTACCTGTGGCTCCAATGACCTGTGATTCTGACGGTTCTGCCCTGAGGAGGAACTTACTCACTCCATTCTATTCTGCACCGAAAACCCCAAACCCTAAACCTAAGCCCTAAGCCCTACGCCCTAAACCCTGAACCCTAAACCCTAAATCCCAAACCCTAAACCTAAGCCCTAAACCCCTAAAACCTCACAAGGCAGGCTTGGGCCTTCAGCATTCCGGGTGTTACGGTTGACGATCCTCACAATAAGGAATATACCATAATTGGAATTCCCGTAGTTTAGGGTCCCCGTAAACCCCAAACCCAAAGCCCTTAAGGTAATGCAGGATTTATATGTATATATATATATATACACCTATCTGTAGATAAGTGTGTATATATATATATACATGTATATATCATCAACAGTAGTTCACAGTTTAGGGCTGAAGTAAGACCCTAGAAAACCCTGTTATGGAAGCCTATATAGAAACCTCCCTTATTCAAAGGTTTAGGGTTTGGGGTTTAGGGTGAAACCGTAGCCGGTCAAATCCTCGAACAATGGACCTTCCCCAGCAGCAGCACGTCGTCGAAGAGAGAAAACAAGGACCATCGAGGCCTCGGCAACGGAGATTACCAAGAAGAAAGCAATAGAATCCGGCTTGTGTAAGGGTTTAGGGTTTAGGGTGTCTTTATCGGGTCCGCAAGTGATTTGCTAACAGGGATCTATTCCACAAGGGCCTAGGTTTAGCAGGGTAGGGGCGTTAGTATTAGGACCAGGATTTAATTCTATAAGGGTTCTATGCTACAGAGGTCTAAATAGTAAGACGAGGCTTCCCGGAACCTGTAAGGGTACCAACAAATAGCGGCTCCTAATATACGTTTTAGGGTTTAGTGAAAGGGGCCTTTGTACGAAGACGAGGGTTTAAAGCGTCCAGCCCTCGAACTTGTGCACGCACCCTCTTGGGTGGACTAGCTAGAAGACTACCTGCGAAAAAGAAAAACTCCGAAGTGACCCCGATGGGAAGCCGAAGAGAATATAATTGTCGTGTTCAGGATTCCTTACCCTAAGGGTCCATGTGCTCATATAGTATATACACTGGCCTTAATGTAGTCCCTATATAGGTACTTTAGGGCCCATGTATGTGCTATATGAGTACATGGACCCTTAGGGTTAACATGACCCCCAACCAAACGCAAAACTTCTATGCGGAGTCCTATTGCCCATTCAACCCCCGATTGCCGAACACCCCTTCTCGCTTCCTATGAGATCCGAAGGCGCGAGTGTTGGGGTTCCCGCTGGGGTTTCAGGGCCCTAGACCCTAAACCCTAAACCACAAACCCTAACACCCAAACCTAAACCCTAAACCCCAAACTCTAAACCCTAAACCCCAAACCCTAAAACCCAAACCCTTAACCCTGAACCC